GAGATATTTAACTTATTTTGGTCCCACTCTAGGCCTGTTCCACACCTTCTCAGATTCCTGAGTTTTGTCTGTGGGTGAAGGTTGGTGTGTGGTAGGGGGAGAGAACTTGCCTACTGGACTCCTTGTGTGGTCCTCAGAGAGGATGTTTCTCACATGCCATATACCTCCCGTGTACCTCATACCTATCAATTCCTGTTGCATGTAGGCTAGGATATTCCTGCTCTCTGCAAAGGAATCACTGCAAAGGAATGGGGGCAGGGTGAGGGAAAGGATTTGTTACTGGCTGCAGAGGGGGAAGAAAAGGTTATTTGGAAGCCTAACGTTCTGTAAATAGCATGGAACATTTCATGAACTTCCCTCACCTCAACCCATTAGTTTAAAAAAAAAAAAAAGGGGGGAAGTACAGCAAAGCACTGTTTTTACCATCTGATGAAGGGCCTTCTCTCCCTGCCCTGCCCCCTTCCCACCAGCAGCATCTGTTGGGAGTACTTTGGCCAGACTCCCAGCCAACTTTTAGTGCCGCCTACCTGGCACACTCTGCCTGTATAGTGTGGACAGAGACAATTCCGGTATGTGGGAATAAGACTGTCCAGATATAAAATATGTCTAGGGAAAGACTGTATGCTCCTAATACAGCCACTTTACTTATCCCAACTTCCCATCCCCATTACTTTGGTCACTATCACCACTGGGGACTTGCCCCAGGTGTGCCAAGACAGAATTGCTACTAGCTATGAGACCTCAGACAAGTCATTTCCCCTCTATAGGCCTCAGTTTCCAGTTTTGTCAACTATGAAGAGACTTAGATGAGTTGTCAGTTAGTAAGCATTTATTAAACACTCACTATGCACCAGGCACTATGCTAAACACTAAAGATAGAAAGGCAAAAGACAGTCCCTGTCCTCAAAGAGCCTACTATCTAATGATGAGAGACAACAAGCAAACATATAAATAGAAAATAATAAACAGAGGGAAGGCACTAAAGTTAAGAGGCCTAGGAAACACTTTCTGAATGACCTCTAAGGTTATTTCCATCTCTAACATTCCATATTGTAATGGAATTCAGCTCGTTCTGTGTTCTAATGCTCCACGTTCTGAGGTCCCTTCCAAGTTTGACATCCTATGATTCTGCAAAGATACTTCTTGGCAGCTGCTAAGAATAGTAGATTTTAAGTTAGGAGACCTGGGTTCAAATTTCATCTCTTCTATTTAATACCTGTGTAATTGTAGGTAATTAACTCCACTCTGTTGACCTCACTTTCCTCATCTAGAAAACATAAGGATAGGATTATGAGCTCTATGGTACCTTACTTCATCTGTAAGTTATCTGATCCTGGGATCTTAGAACCAATTTGCATGTCAAGTATTTATAGTGAATCATTCAGCTACCAATTGTTCCCTGAGGACTCCATGGCACATTATGGGGTATTTCAGGGCCATGTCGGATATGCCCCACAAAGGAAGGCAAAGAATTGGTAAGGAATTTACCCTGTAGTTACAAAAGTGTTTTCTAATTTAAAAAAAAAAAAAGATGTGACACAATTGAAAATAAAGGGTAAAAACAATGAACAGGAAACAGATTCCAGGCAAGTCCCCATGGCTGTGGGAAGTAGATGAGATGGTCAGGGTACCATATCCTGTGAAAGTTTCACAAAGAAAACAAAAATAGAGACTCATCCTGGACTTTCTAAAGAGAACTTTCTCATGCATTGGTCACGAAAAGCCAGAGGGTTGGTTGGTTGGGATTTGGACACAATTCAACAACTAATTAAGCGTCTTCTAAGTTCACCATACTATATGGCATTATTGTTGTTCAGTTGTTTCAGTCGTATGTGACTCTTTGTGACCCCATTTGGGGTTTTCTTGGCAAAGATGCTAAAGTGGTTTACCATTTCATTCTCCAGCTCATTTGACAGATGGGGAAACTGAGGCAAACAGGGTTAAGTGACTTGCCCAGGGTCACACAGCTAGTAAGTGTCTGAGGCCAGATTGAACTCAGGAAGATGAGTCTTCCTGACTCCAGGCCCAGCATTCTGTGCACTCTATAGATATAAAGTTTAGACAAGACCTCATGGAATATCCTCATGGAATTTATAGTCTGAGAGAGGAAAAGACACATCCATAGGTAACTAGAAGAAAAAATAATATATGATAATTATATTAGAGCAATGCAAAACAATGTGCTATATATGTAAGGTGTGAGGGTGATAGTTTTCAGGAAAGGCTTCTTGAAGGTCAACCCCTTCATTTTATAGATGAGGAAACTAAGGCACATGGAGGTTAACTGCCTCACCCAGTGTCACATAGGTAGTAAGCATGAGAGGCAAGATTTGAACTCTTGACCTCTTACTCCAGAACCAGTTTTCTTCTAAAGAGTGAGTAGGAATTCAAAAGGTGGGAGGATAGGAATTGTGAGAGTATATCATATACAGGGAACAGAATGGGCAAAAGCACAGAGGCCAGAAATTACAAGGGATAGAGTGGTCCAGTCTGGCTAGACTGGAGCATACACAAGAGAGCGTAGGTAGGATAATAAGCTCTATTAGGGATACTGTGTTGAGTATCAGTTTTAGAGTCTAGAGGCCTGGTTTGAGTCCTGACTCTGCTCTTTACTATGTGACCAGGGACAAGTCATCTTAATTCTCTGATCTGGTTATCTCCTCTGTCAAGTAAACCTGAATCAATTATGTCCTGGACTTGTTGTGAGGAAGGTGTTTTATCAACTTTTAAATTCTTTATACGAGCCTCCCATGCCACCTCTCCCCTGCCTTAGGATCACAGGACAGTACATTTAGGACTAGATGGGATCTTGAAGCCATCTACTCCACCTCCTCATTTTAAAATGAAGAAACTAGGGCCCAGAGAGGTTAAAGGCCCAAGGTCATTCATCTGGAAAGTGATAGAGCTGGGATGTGAATCCACAACTTTTTAGCAGAAGACTCCTCTTCATACTTGAGTGAGAAAATAAAGGCTAGTATTAAATGAGAGAAAGTGAAGTGAGCAGAACCAGGAGAACAGTTTTCACGACAGCCACAATCATGGAAACGACACTAACACTGAAAAACTTCTGAACTCTAATCAAGGTCGTGACCAAAGCAATCATGACTTTAGAGTACTGATGATGGTGAAACATGCTCCCTGCTTTACCAGAGAAGGGGTAGACTACAGGTGCAAATGAGACGTACATTTTCAGACATGATCAGTATGTTGATTAATTTTACTTAACTGTACTTATTTATAAATGTATAAATTTAATATAATTTAATATAAACACATTTATATAGATCAATAAGTATACATATAAGTAACTATTATTATTACATATGATAATATTATTCTAATAGGGTGGGTGTCATTAGGAAGTGACACTGTGGTTAAAAAAGAGCATCAATAAAACTTAGAAAAAAAAAGGAAACGGAGGCCATCCATCACAAGCTCCCTGTTCTCCCCTTTTCTATGTCTCAGAATCCCTTGACGTTGTCTTTCATTCTCTCCTCTGTCATTCTAGTCTCTGATGAAGAGGTAACTTCTTACCACAGGCAGCGTCTCTGTGGGTACCTTTGTTACCCTACCATTCCCTCCTTTAGCCTGTCCCCATAATTACCTTCATTTCTCTACCTCTCACTCGCTTCTCAACCTCCTATGGTCTTCCAAACCCATTACTAAACTGAAACTGCTCTCTCCAAAGTTACCAATGAGCTCTTAATTGCCCGATTTCTTAGTCCTCATCCTTCTTGACCTCTCTGCAAAATTTGATGCTGTTGATGATCATTCCTTTCTCCTGGATACTCTTTCTTGTCTGGGTTTTCATGATATTGCTCTCTTGGTTCTCCTCCTGCTGTTGTCTCTTTGCTGGCTCATCTTACTGTGTTCTGCCCTCCCCAGCCATGGGTCTCCCTCAAGGTTCTCTCCTCTGCCTTCTTCTCCTCTCTTTACAACCTCTGTCTCAGCAATCTCATTAATTCTCATGTAATCAATTGTCATCTCTATGCAGATGAATCCTTGATTTATATATCCAGCTCCATTCTCTGTCCTGAGCTATAGTTCTGTATCACCAGTTACCTTTTGGATATTTCTAACTCTGCGGTCCCATGCACATCTCAAACTCAACATGGCCAAAACAGAACTCATTATCTGTCCTCCCAGAACCATCCTAATTTGTCTATTTTCTGTCAGAGGTATCACCATCATAACCTTAGCAATAATGTTCAACTTTGCATTTTCCCTAAACTCTCATATCCAATAACTTGCTAAACCTTGTCATTTCTACCTCTATAACATCTCCTCCATTTGTCATCTCTTCTCTATTCGTACGGTCACCAACTTTGTTCAGTTCTGTTATCATCTGTCACCCAGATTCTCTTTTTAACATAGTTCCAAGTTGCTTTTCAGAATGGTTAGACCAATTAAAAATCCATCAATAGTGTATTGGTATGCTTGTCTTTCCTTGGCCCCACCAGTATTGACTATTTTCTTTTCCAGTTTGCTGCTTGTGAGATGAAACCTCAGAGTTGTTTGGAGTTGCATTTCTTTTATTATCAATGATTTTATTCATATGGTTGTTAATAGTTTTCAATTCCTATTTTGAGAACTATGTCTTTAACCACTTATCTTTTGTGGAATCTCAGATATATAGATGTATAGACACACATGCGTATATTTGCATAAATCTTAGATATCATACATTTTTCAGATATTTGATGGATCATTAGTTTCCCAGTCAATAGTTTCTTTTTATTCTGCTTGCACTGATTTTGTTCATACAAAAGCATTTCAATTACCTTTAGTCCTGACAGTTATTAGTCATATGACTTTAGACAAATAATTTAATTCCTCTGAACTTAATATCCTTCTGTAAAACGAAACTAACATTTTACGCTCCCTACCTCATAGGGTTACAAAAAAGGAAAACTTTTATAAACTTTAAAATGCTATAGAAATATGGGTCATTATTAAATCCTTTTTTAAAAAAATATTTCTCTACCCTCCATTTTTCCCAGGAAGAGAAGATGATGAAAATCCTAGTACAACACCAGGTCCGGAGTGGAGTAACTGGCAATGTGGGGATGGAAGTGGATGGTCTGCCTTTCCATGGCATTCATGCTGAAATGATCCAACAGTTGATTGATGTTACCACCATGTAATCCATATACACACACACACACACACATATACACATATACACACACTCTTTATATAATCTCCATCACCCTTTCTAGTTCTCCATTTCCCCCCACCTCATACATACATATCCCACCCTAAAGTGGCTGGGCTGTATTCTTGTGCCAGGTCAGGGGAATTGGGAGATTGTAAGAGATCATGGGAAGGAATCCAACAGGTGGAGATAAATGCAATTTCAAAGGTAATTGGAAAGGATTGGGAGGGAGGCATTCTTTTCATCACCTTCTACTTGCCCAGGAGGTCATATCAATGGAAATATAGAGGAATTCCCTTCTAGACTAGCTTTGAAAATTCACTAATGGTCCAAAAAAAAAATTAAGCACAAAAGCATGCATGATAGTGCCTTGTGGCTTAGCATGGTGAAAGTGGAAAGAGCCTTCGATCTTGACCTAAAAAACCAGAGTTGAATCTGTCTGTGTCAGTGAGCATGTCACAACCTCTCTGGTCCTCTTTTTCCTCACCAATAAAATGAGGCGGTTAGACAGGATAACCTCTAAAAACTCTTCCAAACTAAATCTGTGATCTTTTATGGATGGACTTGAAGGGGAGACCAAGTAAAACATTTCCAGGGAATCAATCATTTTTTGTATTGATTTTTTTAACTTAAATACTAAAACTTAAATATACAATAAGAAAAGAAGAAACATATTATAAACTTAGATACAAAAGAAAAAAAGGAAAAAAGCATTGCCATATGCACAGCAGAACATAAGAGAGGATTCAAAATATATAGCAATAATTTCCATTTCCAGAAAGCCTGTATAATAAATGCTCCACATTGTGTTCTGAGCTGTCCATCTTTTCTCTCCTTCCTTGTAAGTTTTCTTTTGTTCTCTGCTGGGCACTTTTTACTTCGTTTTTTTTTTCCTCCTTTGCTCCCCTGCTTCCCCAAGAAGGCTAAGTGGAGGATATATGTTTTTGGGGGGAGTATGCATACAAACACACATATATACACACATACGTAAACATATCCATATATATACACATACATGCATATACTTACATATAATACATATACTTAGAAAACTAAATCATACTCATATATAGACATATACATTCATATGCATCTGTGTAAGACCATACTATACTTGTTTGTCCTCTGTCCTCTGTTTCTCTAAAGGTGGATAGTATCTTCCTTCATAGGTCCAAATCTTTCCATATTTTTCTAAGTCCACCAACTCATAGTTTCCTATACTACAGTAATATTCAAACCTTATATTGTTTCGTTATTTTAAATAGTCTCAAATAATATTGATTAATATAGCTGGCATATAGTGTGATTTCCTTATTTTTCTTTCTTGATTAAATTTATTTTAGTTTTAACTTTGTCTAAGATCATGATTACTACTCCTTTTTCTCTAATAAATTCTATTCCTGATCTTTATGTTTGTGCATATCTCTTATTTCCTATCCCTCCTGACTCCTCTACTTTACTTCTACCTTGCCCTCTTATTACTTAACCTACCCCCCCACCAAAGATTCCCTCCCTTATACTTTCCCCCTACTCTGAAATCCCTTTCTTATTCTCTCCCCACTCCCATCCCCTTACCCTTTAATTTCTTTCTGAATTTAGAAGACTTTTATGCCCTTCTAGATATGTATGTATTGTTCCCTCTCTAACCCATTCCTAATGAGAGTAGGGTTCCAGAATTTCCAGCTCTCCTCCCCCATCTGATTCCTCTGCCTCGATTCTTCCTCTTGTACCTCATTTGTATAAGATTATTACTCTTTTTACCTTTTCCTAGACAGTTTACTTTTTAGTATTGCATCATACTCAGCTCTACCCCAATCTTTTTTTTTTCCAAACTACTCAATTACTAATAATACTCTTAGACAGAGGATTTACATTTACTTGTATAAAAAGTAATCACTCTGTCCTTACTGAGTCCCTTACATTGCTCTTGTATCCTGTATGTCATATTTTCTATTGATTTCAGGACTTTTTGTAACAAAATCCTGAGAGTCTGGCAATTCATTGAAGATCCATTTTTTTTTCCATTCAGGATTAACTTTGCTGGGCATGATATTTTCAGCCACCCAGTTCTTTTGCTATTTGACACATAGTGTTCCTGTAGTCTTTTAAGGTAGCTCCTGCTAGGTCTTGTGTGATTTTTGTGTGATTGTGGCTCTGCCATATTTGAATTGTTCTTTTCTTGTTGCTCATAATATTTTCTCCATGAGCTTGGGGTTTCAGAATCTAGCTATTATAGGAGCTCTTTCAGGTGGTGATTGGTGGATTTTTTCTATTTCTACTTTCCTTTCTTATTATAATACTTCAGGACAATTTTCTTTAATTATTTCTTGTATTGTATCAAGATTCTTTTTTTGATCGTAGTTTTCAGGTAGTGTGATTATTCCTATGTTTTCTCTTCTTGATCTGTTCTCCAGATCAGCTTTTTTTCTTATGAGATGTTTTACTTTCTCTTCTATTTTTTCATTCTTTATATTTTGCTTTGTTATTTCTTGGTCTCTTATAACTTTACTGGCTTCCCCTTGCCCAATTCTAATTTTCAAGGAATCGTTTTCTTAAGATTCTGGATCTCCTTTTCCAGTTGGTTAACTTTCTTTTCATAATCTTCTTGGTTTTTCTTGGATTGTTCTTATTTTTTTTTAATTTTCCTCAATCTCTCTCATTTGATTTTTGAAATCTTTTTTAAGTTCTTCTATACATTCTTTTTGGGCAGATGACTATTTGATGTTATTCTTTGGGGTAGGAGAGGCTTTTTTTTTCTTCAGTATCCTCCTCTGAGGATGAACCCTAGTCTTTTCTATTCCCATAGTAACTTTCTGTGGTTAGGTTCTTTCTCCTTTGCTTGCTAATTTTTTTTTTTAATAGCATCTTCTTGTAATCACCTCTAGTCCTGGGGGACGGTGCCTCTGGCCTTGTCCTCCTTCAGTTCTCCCTTCTAGTGTGGAACTGAAACCAGTAATTCTGCCCTCCTGTAAGAGTCCACAGCCAGTGAGGTCCCCACCCCACTGCTTCTATATTAGCTCCTTCTCACCCGGGCAGAATCTCAATAGCTCAGCTGGGCCTGCAGTCACATATTAGCAGAGGTTCCCTCAATCTTCCCCTGCTCAGACACCCAACTGCCTGCACTGTCCAGAAGGTGAAAATTCCTGTGGCTGGGGCTGAGGTGGCCTCCCAGCCCAGCTAGCCCCAGGGCTTGCCACTTGCTGCTTCATGGGAGCTAGCCTAGAGGTGTTTACACTTCACAGGAGTCAAACGTCAGATCTTCTCAGGTTGTCCCAGTAGGACCACTGTTCTGCCCCAACTCTTTGTTTATTTTTACTGCTCTACGTTCACCCTGAGGCACTATTTTGTCTTATTTGTGGAGGAAATCTGGAGAGCTTGGAATTTTCTGACCTACTCCATCTTCCCAGAATCCTCTCAACTTTCCATGGATTTTTATGAATATATTGAACTTCTACTTTTGTCCTCATTTTTAAAAATCTGTTCTTTAAAGAGGTAAGAAAATTTCTTTTAAAAGATTTTTATTAAAAAATTGCACCTAATTTAGTTACTATCAACCAACACACATTTATAAAGTACTTACTATATGCCAGGTACTATGCTAGGTACTGGGCATACGAAGACAAAAATAGCACAGTCCTTGTTTTCAAGAAGCTTACATTCTGTTGAGGAAGACAGCATTGCAGTTCTAAGAATATGCAAAAATTTATACAATGTCATAGGATGGAGGGAGGAAAAAGCACCAACATCCAAGAGCGCCAAGGACAGGCTCATGTGGGAGGTAGCATTTGAACTAAGCTTTGAAGGAAATCTGGTTTCTAAGAGGTAGAGGTGAGGAGGAAATGCAATGGCCTGCAGTATTTATGCTTTAGCTCTTATACACTTCATAACAATTACGATAATGGCTTTTCTGATGACATCAGTGAAATGGTTCATAAAATTGGCATAATACTACTGCGATTATTTTTAGAAGTGAAAAGTTCCTTTTAATAGCACAAGTGCTAGTATAATACACACGGTCACCCAAATTCACTTCATATGTAGTAATAAGGTAATATGTGGTCCTGAGAAGGTGAAATTATATGGACCCACTGTCAGCCAAATGAGACATCTCCTTAAACTGGTAGAAATATTGACATGACTTTGGTATACAAGAGAAATCAAATTGATTTCTAAAGATGTTGTAGCTATTCGATTCAGCCTGATCTCCATCTCAGCCTTCTGGGACTCTCCATGCTAATGACTCAACAATCAGCACTTTCTCCTGCCCAGGCTCTTGTTGGAGGTGCTCATGAACAACAAACACACTGATCTGAGCAGCCAAATAAGGAAGAATGAAAACAGTTGAGGACATAGATAACCCCTTAGATGGATACTTGAGAATTAATAGTTTGTACTAGTATTATCTTCCCCCCTAACAAACCCTTCCAAATTTCTCTATTACTGTTGATGGTACCACTATCTTTGCAGTCCCCCAGGTTCTTAACCTACATGTCATCATGGACTCCTCACTATCTGTCACTTCCCCAATTTGAATTCATTGCCAAGGCCTGTTGATTTCACCTTTGTAGCGTTTCTTTAATATATCCTCTTTTCTGATACTGCCACCATCTTAATGTAGGCCCTCATCTCTTCATTCCTGCACTATTACAATATCCTGCTGGTTGATCTGCCTGCCCCAAGTCTCTCCCCGCTTCAGTCCTCTGCATAGCTGCTAAAATGATTTTCTTACTATACTGTGTTGACTATATCACATTCCTTACCACCCCCCAACTCAATATACTTCAGTGACAACTGATTACCTCTAAGGTCAAATATAAAATTTTCTCTTTGACATTTAAAGCTCTTCATAATCTGGTCCCAACCTACCTTTCCAGTTTTATTATACATTATTCACCTTCCTGTACTGTGTAGGCCAACCAAATAGCCCTTATTGCTTTTCTTTCCATTCATTTTACAAAAACACAAATAAATATGAATAGGAAATTAAGGCATGATACCATCCATGAATTAGAATCTCATAAAGAAAGAGGAATGGATTCACACTGAAAACTTTCTGTGGAATGAAATCTAAAACAAATTTCTTTGTTTATTTTTGCATTGTATGTGGTGTCTGCCCACAGAGAACATGATGCCTACTGAAAGCTGCTTTGCTCACTGACATGACCAGTTATTTAATTGTTGCATTGCGTATCTTTTGATAACAAAGTATCTGAAAATGAACACATTCACCTGCTTGGCTAACTACATTGATAAAATTAACTTAATTATTAACAATTATTATTTGTCAATCTACCCTATACTGTAGGACAAATACAGAGATTTTTCAAAAATTATGAAGCACTTACCAAGACACATATAAGAAATATATAAATAAAACAAAAAATATAAAAATTAAACTAAAACTAAAAAAACACTATGGAAACAAAGGAAGACAACTGGAGAGATATTAATTGCTCATGGTTGGGACATGCCAATATAATAATAGCAATACTACTGAAGAAAATTCATAGATTTCATGCCATTCCAGTCAGACTACCAAAGGATTATTTTATAGAACCAAACAAAAAATAATGAAAGTCATTTGGAGGAA